TACACGCCCGCTCGTGGAGATAGAGGCCGGCGGCGGCGGCGGTTTGATCGGGCGCGGGGCGGCGCCGATCTGAGGGGGCGAGGGCGGCGAGCTGTGGGGGCTACGGCGGCGGCGGGTAATACACGCGGTGACAGTGGGAGGGCGGCGGCGGCGGCGAGCTGTGGGGGCGGCGAGGTCGATGGCGTCGACGAGCCACCGCGCGCGGCCGGCATCGTAGCGCGCCGAGCGGACCTCGCGGAGAAGGCGGGTGCGGGGGAAGTCTGGGAGGGAGCAGCCCGCCTCTCCGCCGTCGCTCGCCTCGCCCGCCTCTCCGCCGCCGCTCGCCTCGCCCGCCTTGTCTGCCTCTTCGCCGCCGCCCGCCTCGTCCGCCTCTTCGCCGCCGCCCGCCTCGCCCACCTCTCCACCGCTGCTCGCCTCGCCCGCCTCGTCCGCCGCAGCTCGCCTCGCCCGCCTCTCCACCGCCGCCCGCTTGCCTCTCCGCCTCGTCCGCCACCGCCCGCCCCCGCTCACCGTCGGCCGCACCGCCGTGCGCGCCGTTCGCCACTGTCATGCCGACTGCCGAGAGAGCGAGGTCGATGGCGTCGATGCTGTTCGATTTTTTTTTAACAAAATCTATCATAATTGCCTCAAATTTGACAATTTTTAGTCAAATCTTTCAAAATGAATCAAATTTCTCAAATTTATGCCAAATCTGTCATAATTGGGGCACATTTTATTTAATTTATTTTCACTTTCACAAAATTCTGTCAAATTTAAGTCAAATTTCACAAAATGATTCAAATCTGTCAAATTAATGCCAAATCTGTTACTTGAGCAAAAATTATTACAAATATTTCAACATTGTTGAATATATACACGGTATAACAAAATAGGGTCAAACAAGCAAACAAAAGGGATATAACAGTGTCAAATAAGCAAGGGCAAAATAGACTATTTACCCCAAAATTAACACCGTCACCTCACCCAAACGGAATAGGGTCAGACCGGAGCTTCGTACTCGAAAAGGAGGGTCAAATAAGCAAAGTTCAAAAAGTAGGGCCAAATCATCAATTACAGTTCAAAACAGGGTCAAATAAGTAATTGCCCCTTTTTTTTGGAAGTTCGGGAACCCGTGAAGATCGTCCTCGACCGTGTGCCTTTTATAACTACCCTGAAAATAACGGTAAAAAATGCCCGTATGTTACAACGGACGAAGGCTATTTTAATATTATTATTGTTGTATGGTTTAGTTAAGGTGAAATTCATGGTGGGAATTTACTTGGATATATATATATTTCTAGAAAATCATGATGTGTAGTTAAGAGTTCGATCATCTCAAGTTAGCATGGTAGTTCTTTTAAGGGGATTTCTTATACGACTCCTTTTGTATTTTCAAAAGCGAGCGATCTTAAAACTTGACTCAAATACAGATTCGTATTTCCAAAAGCGAACGAACTTAAAAACCGAACCATACACGGATAACGTGTCAAAGTACCGACAAAAACATCTTTAATTTTTATAATAGTAGAGATTGTATGGAGTATCCTCATGGTTATGGAAGTTAAAAGAGGTGAAAACGGTCGAAAACATTCAGAATCAATAGCATCTTTTCAAAAACAATGATCGATCGGTCGATAATTGATCATATTCATCATTTAAACTACTCAGTGTTGACACCAGTACGATGCAGAAAGAAATTAGAAAAAACATTTATATATAAAAAAACAGTAGCGGTTGAAAATATTACCCGTTATATAAAAACGATGCTCGGTTGATCGAGAATATGACATAAGGTGGATGAGCAGTTCAACGTAATCGATAGATAATTCGCTACTGCATTGTCATTTGCCCCTATTGCATTAAGAATGGTACTCCCTCCATCCCAAAATAGTGTAGTTTTATATTGTTTATGTCCAATGTTTGACCATTTATTTTATTAGAAATTTTTTATGATAAATATTTTTTATTACATGATAAAACATGAATGGTACTTTATGTGTGACTATTTTTTAATAATAAAAGTATATAATTTTTTTAAATAAGACGGACGGTCAGGTTAGACATGATATATACGGTTGCACTTGTAGAATGGATGTAGAGGAACTCCTCGGAATCAATGCTACCGTCGTATTGTTTCCATGGGCCCAGGACAATCTTCGTGGCTTGATTTTTGTTGTTGCGGACCGAGCAATAGCCCCTTCTATCGCTGTACTCCCTCTTTTCCGTCCGATGCAAATCGAATGGCGCAACGACCCCGGACGTCGCTACGTCAAACGATCTAAACGCCAATGAAAAGAAAAAAAGGGCCAATCGTTGTTCGACGATATTCCAATTATATCCATCAGTTATTTACTTATTTACACTTAAAAAAAGTGCACTTTATGGAGTAATAACTATTAACTACAATCATGTTGTTTTTTAAGCAAAACGGCACTAGATCATGACTTTTCATTGAATATAGTGGAAGAAAAAACAACTCTTAAGGATCAGAAATGAAAAACTTTGTACTCTTTATATATTATATATGGAGGGGCAGAAGGTCCCGCAAACGTTTTGCTCCTGCCATCGTCCAAGTCCGCGCCTCTTCCTTGATCTTGGCGAAGAGGAAAGATGATGTAGCCTCCTTGTGCTGAAAGATTCGTTGATTCCTTTTCTTCCATATCTCCCAAACCATGAGGAGGATGAGGGTGCGCAAACCTCTCAAACTCATGCCGTATTAGCTAGTGTCTTCCACCAATCTTTGACAGTTTGTGTTGTCTCTCAATGCCTAGAGTCAAGCTAGTGGTAAGCCACCCAGCATGCTCCATATTATCCATGTTGTTGTTTGATGACATCCAATTATCCATCAATCAAATACCCATCCCTCGATGCACGTTTTCCATCCAATTTTCAGCAAAAGGCAACTGCGGCGGCGACATGAAGGTCAACTGTCGGAAGGCGGCAAACAGCAAACTCGATCAGTCCCACGACTACTTTTTAGATGAACAGATCACCTAGTTATCCAGCTTTATTAAAGAATCCCCATAACAAAGTTCTTTTGCCTGTTAATTCTCGTTACAGTTACAGTTACAGCTGGAAGACAGGAACTAGCTACAGATCGAGCAACATCTGAATCTCACATAGAAATTTACAGAAACATCAAGTTCACAAAAAAGGCAGACCACTGCACTGCTATCTAAGTGAAATCATCGATCGAAGACCCTTCAGCCGGTACAGAATGTCGTCAACACAGGTGTCCAGTGAGCTTTGATCTTCCCCTCGCAGCCGTTTTCATTTTTTTGTGCTGTTTTCTCGAGCTCTGCATAAATGAAACTGTTTTAGATACAAAACCTTCTCAAAAGGAAAATTATACGCGTACAAAAATCTGTTATTTGTCTAGAAAAAGCATCTTGAAAAGCTGATGTGGATAAAATATGATTGATTCTTGATTTTAAGCCCATTCTTTTCTAACTGAAGGGTTGTTTAGATTGATGTCATTTTAAATCATATCATTTTTGTTAAAATTATTAAAAATGTGCATACATTTAGTTTCTTGTCCAACTTTAGTAAATATATAAGAAATTCTGTCAATTTTTATAATATTGTCAAACTACTAAAATTTTAGCATTAGATTTATTTTGACTGCAATCTAAACGGCCCCTAACTAACTACTAATTAAGACTAGTACAGATTTTTTAAAGTGTTTTTTTAATGAAAATAGATTACATCTTACTTCTGTCACAAGCCACACGGCCATAAAGTAAATATAGCATTACTCTTATCAACAACAAAATCAGTCTAGAGGCCAACTCAACGCGGGCACATTCAAAGGATTACCCTCTCGCCGGCGTCGAACGACCACAGCCGCAGCGGCTCGCCGTCGTCGTCCGGCAACGACTCCGGCAGGAGGCTTTGTGGAGGAGGGATCGCGTGTTCGCGCCAGATTGCTTCGAATCGGTTGCGCTCGATCATGTACCCGCCCAGGTTGATGTACTCGCCGTCGTCGGCGACGCCATTCCCGCTCGCCGGCGGCGGCGGCGGCGGCGCGGCATCCTCCTGGGAGTCCACCATGAGCGCGCACGCGCGCCTTTGTTCGGCCTCGTAGGCGACGCCGTTCCGGTTCGCCGGCGGCGGCGGCGGCGGCGGGGCGGAGCACGGCTCTGGTTTCTTTTTGGAGCAAATTACCGGCTCTCGTTCCTCTTCGAACCACCGATCCGGTGGTGGCTGCGCGCCCTGCACCTCGTCTCCCATGTCCATGGGCGCGGCATGTGGCGGCACGGCGTCCTGGGAGGAGGAGTCCACCGCCATGAGCGTGCCCGCGCGCTGGAGCGAGAGCTTCTGTTCGGCCTCGTCGGCGGCCTTCTGGATCGCGTGGCTCGCGGCCGCCAGGGAGCAGTCGATGGATCGGAGAAGCTCCCGGAGCTCCTCTTCGGTCATGGCGCCGAAGGCAGCGGCCACCCCCGCCGCGCTGGCCGACTCGCCGCCGGCGGGGACGCCCTGCGGCTGCTGCGTCGCGGCTTGGTTCGCGATGTCGGCGGCGTCGCCCACGGAGATCTTCCTCCGACCGTTCTCCGGCAGCGCTTTGTACCGATTGTTGATATCCCGTGCCTTGTCCATCGACGGCCAGCGCAGCGGCTCGCACACGCCGCCGATGGCCGGGCCGGACAAGGCGACGGGGACGGCGCACCGCGTCGCGAGCTCGCTCGCCTTCCTCACCAGCCTCATGCGCTGCTCATGGCGGGGGTCGCCGGCGACGCCGGTGACCGGAGTAGGAGCCTCCCCGCCGCCGCCGCCGCCGCCCGGCGGCATCGCTGATGTCATCATCATCTCTCCCCTTCCTTCTCTCCCGCCCTTCGAATTGAATGAATCTCTCAATTTCTCGAGCGTGCGCGTGCGCGAGGAGATGCGTCTCCTCTCGCGCGACTTAAATAGGCCGCGGGCCGTACGGCCCAAGCAGCCCACGACTCCGACTCGGACTCGTGTTGGGCTTGGGCCCGAACACGAATCGGACTTCCCTTTCTTTTCTTTCGGGGAAAAGGCCCGGAACCGCGTGGGCATTGCCGCCGCCGCCGCCGCAGCGACTCACTCCCCGACTCCCCCATGGCGCCGCCGCACATGGCGTCCGTCCCGGCGGCGCTCCGGCGAGCGGCGACGCTGGCGCGGTGGTATCCGGCGGCGATGTTCTCGTCGGGGATCGTCCCCGAGAACAAGCCCATCCTGGTAAGCGCTCGGGGCGGAGGTTTCGCGGGCTGGGAGGGGCGCAGTGAGATCTCCTTGTAGCGGGTGATGATTTGGTGGGAGCTTCGTGCGCGCAGGTGCGTGACTTCGTGAGGTCGGCGCTGTACGACCCCAACCATGGCTACTTCTCCAAGCGGTCGGGACCCGTGGGCGTGCTCGACTCCAGCATCCGCTTCAACCAGCTCGACGGTAATCCTCCTTTCTACCTGCTTCTTGGATCATTCTATTGCTTGGACCGGATTTGGATGTGGGAGTTTGGTGTGTGTGTTCCGGCATTGCGGGAATCAGATTAGGCCGGTTCTAACATTTGTTTGCCGAGGTGGCATTTCGACGAACACGTTGCGCGTGCCACTGTTCCTCTCATGCAGAAATTTGGGACTTCTGTTTTTCTTCCACGACTGTTGAACTCCATTGATTGTTTGCCAATTACGATTCTGTGTTGTGCTGTTTTAATATCTTGGATATTTGACTAGAAACGGAAGTAATTTGCTTATGTAGGTAGGAGTGCGTATATGCAGTACCTTGATAAGTTGTACAAGAAGCATGACATCGCTTGGTTCACTCCAGTGGAGCTCTTCAAGGTGTTTTCTTAAGCTGTTCAATAGCATGTAGTGTCATTTTTCTGTCAGTTTGACCCTTGATGCGTGGTCTTTCTCTGGTGCAGCCATGGTATGCCTATGCAATAGCTGCATCAATCCTCCGTACAGCAAATCTTTCAGTCCCACTGAAGGTGCATTCTTAACTTCCTCCTCAGCATAGTTCTAGACCTCCATCCACCCATTTGCTCTTACAAGCGCCATAACCGCTCACATATGATTTAATAAATGATGGCTGTGCTACTGCACCATTTTCCTTTTCTTTTTTTCATTCCTTCTCAACTAGTAATATTACTGCAGTTCTCATGCCAAATTTTTTTTTTGGAGAAAAGGTACCTTATAATATTATGGCACATAGTCATCTGTTTTCTTTTTCACCAAACCATATGAATTTTCCCCTGCATGGATCAGATTTACGAAATTGGTGGTGGTTCTGGCACATGTGCAAAATGCATACTTGACTACATGATGTTAAATGCTCCACCGAAAGTATACAATACTATGAAATACATGTAAGGAAACCTTCCTTCACTTTATGATCTCTGTTATGTGATCGAATATGCTTTGACCTTGCTTTTATCTTAATTTGCTAGCTCAGTAGAAATTAGTTCCTCTCTAGCTGAGAAGCAATTGGAAACTGTTGGTGAGGTGCGAAGCCATTTGTCAAAGTTCATGGTTGAGTGTCGTGACGCAACTGACAGAGCTGGATGGGGTAAGCTGACTTCTTGTCCCTGCTCCTCTGTAGGGCAATCTACTCTAAAATGCATTCTATTTAAAAAATAATGTATGAACTTTGATAATTCAGCTTGCAAATTTTCAGCTAATGCTATTACACCATATTTTGATGTAGTGCTGATAGGCTCAGTCTAAAATGTGTGGGTTACACTTACACAGACTTCCCACTAATCCCTCCATGTCAAATCACACTTATATCGGATTTTATCTTCTGATCTTTATATTGTTGCACTTTTATTCCTTGACCACTTTGGGTTACTTTCCTGTCATATTTTACAGGCCGCAAGGATCCTCAACCTTGTTGGGTGTTAATGCTTGAGGTACTGCCTTGACTATCTGCTCGGTTGTTTCTTTGATGTCTCATATGAATCAAAGAAGCAATATACCATCATTACAGTCCACCTTTCCTGTTATTAATTGACGCTTAGCTGCAGTCCTCTGGCTGGTTTGCACTAACTTAGTAGCTTGGCAGAATGTGTAGCAGCACCTCAAATGTTATTTAGGCTTTCAAGATGTGAATACTGCAAATATACCTTTTTTCAGTGTCGAGTTTATCTGTGTGTTATTTTGTGTTTCAAAGGATATGTAAGAGTAGGTTATAAAGTTATAGCAGACATAAACTCTTGATTACTCTCTCTTTGCCAATGATATTGCAAACAAAACACTGTATCAACGTTGGGCGCTGTTCCTTTACGTACCCTCACTATTGCCATAACAACCAGATATAGGATCCTCTTTAGACATTCTACCAACCATCACTTATTAACCATTGTATGACCATGCCAGTAGTCTGGACTGACTGATGATGGCAAGTAGGGAAACACTGGTTGCTAGTATCATTTTGTTTGCTAAGTGAAGAATTAGATTATCATATGGACTTCTTAGCTTCGCAATCATATCTTAGAGACATGATGGCAGCAGCCTCAACAGCAACATTCATTTGGTGTATTGTCAGGTACTTGACAATCTACCACATGACCTTGTCTATTCGCCAGATCAGGTCTCTCCATGGATGGAAGTATGGATTGAAAAAGTAAATGGCAGGTTTGTGTTTTCCTTTTTCTGATTCCTGAGAGTGTATGCTTCAGACAATATATGAAAGTATCTTTTTTGCTCTTATACCGATTATTTATGTGCGGCTTTAGGCAAGTTCAATGAAATGATCTGGACTTTGGAATAATTTGATGAAATGAATGAACTTATGCTTCTTGTGGGTAAAAAAAAAATGATGGAAGTCTGACAGTCTGTAGTGAAATTCTTTTACTGAATTCTCTTCTGTTACCTCGTGGCTAATGATCTATTGATCTTATGATTTCTTTTCTATATATTACTGTATTGTATTTGTAACATATATAAGCACAGTGCTACATAAGATAAGTTTATTCTTAGTATACATACTTTATATTTTGGAAAGGAAAAAAGGTATATTCTTCAACAGAAGATTAAGGGAAGGTTCTGCTTGTTTTATAGTGCTCTCATGCTGGTCTTTTACTAGATTCTTGTTAGATAAATTTATCATTTTCGATATATTATTGTTGAAGGGCTGATTCCTTACCCCTCTAGTATAACATAGTCGATCGCCCTTGTGCTTCTGGAATCTGGACAGTTGTATTGATTGATATTGCCTGGTAACTAATGAGGACAGACTTCATTAAATTTGTATGGTTGCCTTTTATGAAAAATAGTTCACAAGGCTCTGAGGTATACAAACCATTACAAGACCCACTAGTTTCCCGCTGTGTCGAGATTACTGGCATAAATGAAGAGAAAGTGTCTGTGAGAGACAAATTATCACTTGCTGCAAAAGGAGTTGTGTCAAAAGTATTCCCAAAGCCTCGGAGAGCTTGGTTACCAACTGGATGCTTGGTATGTCTTTTGAACCCACTTCCACTTGTTAGGTTATAAACTGTTATTCTATATGTGATCATATGCTGATGAGTTTGTCAGCTTACTGCCAGAATCTCTGAAATATGTGTTATGACATATGCAGAAAATACTAGATACTTTACATCAAGCTTTGCCAAGCATGTCCCTTATAGCTTCAGATTTCAGCTATCTTCCTGATGTCAGTATACCTGGCGATAGAGCTCCATTGGTTTCTTCAAAGGTGACAAGACCTTCACTGACTTTTGGTGCGTTTTTCCAACAAGGCAATTTCTCTAGGACACCTCGTTGATGTTGTGTCCTGCTTGCAGAAGGACGGGAGGACTTTGGATCATCGCAACTATCTTGAGGCTCAGGTTTGAATAATGTTTCTGTTCTGTTATATCTGAATATTAGATTCGTTGCAAACATGTCGTAGCTTAGTTGACCCTACTGTCCAACCCCATGGGGAAAAAGAACTAAATAACTTTGAGCAATTAAGTTGTTATGCTATGTGTTTAATTAAGTTGTTGTGCTATGTGTTATTATATATTATTAAAAGAACTCGGTTATGTTACTTGCCAGGGTGACGCAGATATTTTCTTCCCAACCGATTTCTGGCTTTTGGAGAAGATCGACCATGACTGCTCTGGTTTCTCAAAACAGCAAAAGAACCCCGGTGCATTTAAACCAGTTAAGACGAGGAGAACCATCATTGTAAGTTCAGACTATTTAAGCCAGTTTTGTTTTCTATGCAACCTAGTGTCCTAGTTCATCTTGCATCACATCTTTTACAAACTTCGGTGCACTGACGAGTATGATGTTATTTGTCAACTATCGTTAGCTTGATTCTGCTGCCTTCATGGAAGAGTTTGGACTGCCGTTGAAGACTAGGACCAAAGATGGATATAATCCACTCCTTGATGATTTCAGGAACACCAAGTTCTATCTAAGCGTTCCTACCCATAACAAGAAATAGTCATCATATATTATTTCTTGTTATATTTTAGTCTATTCGTTGGTCAGATCATACTATCCCATGCGGATAAAAATCGACTTTCGCATTCTTTTAGAGAACAGGAAAGTCTTTTAGTCGACCGAAGAATCGCAAGTTTGATTTGTCCATTTCTGTACTTCACAAGCTGCATGGCTGAAAAGTGGATTATAGTGTACTACACAGGATGTCAGGCCTGCTTCTTTGTGACACGGCTTATAATTTGAGAACTTCATTTTATAAATAATTTTGAGTCTTTTCTATTGTTATTGTCATTTAGCCTTGGCTTCGGATTGCTAGGAGTAGAAGTGTATAAATCGCATCCACAATTTTCACTGCATTGATAACGAGTCTTCAAACTACAAGGCACAATTACCAGAGAGAGAGAGAGAGAGCGCTATGGTGTTCAAGGTTCCATAGGAAAATTAGAGTAACGATAAATATGGATTAGGATTTAGGACCATAATTTTCCTTATGTGTGTTCCACACTTCCACTTCCGGTGTAACCAGTAGCCAGAGCAATATAGGAAATCGGATGACAAGTTGCAGCAAATAACAGAAGAGAAAATGAACGAGGGAGATAGTAGAGCTAGGGATAACAAGTGAATGAAATAACAAATGGATACAGCAATTACAACATACACCTCCACCCCACGTATAATTATGGAATATATAAGGGGGCGTATTTTTCCTGCTGGCAGCTATTCTGTTCATTGCCAATACAAAAGTGTAGCTCCACAGAAGTCAAACCATACATTTCATTTTCTGTAGAAAAAAGAATGGTTACATCAAGGGGCTCTCCTCCAATATACAACTTCTCATCATGCTATCACCAAAACAGGGCAAAAAAATATCATATATAAATGAAAAGAAAACATTATGGTATACCAAAACTCTACTTTCCACTAGAGGAGCTTGCTGGTTCGTCGCTTTGGACCACCAGGGAAGAGCTTCATTATCCATCCAAGCACCCGTTCAACAACCTGTATATATTTTTCGTCAGACAATCATAACAATGATCTAATGGAGAAAGGCAATCAAATATGTTACATCAGATAAGTTGTAACCTTTAAAAAAAATCAAGCTGTCAACACATGAAAAGGCTTTATAACAATAATGAAAAAGAGATGTTCTTTTATGTGATCTGTGAGTTTTGCTGTTAGATGCTTAGATAACAGAAACTAAATTACCTCATCTCCTTCATCAGCATACAAAGTTGCATCATTGATGGAGCGTGTGTCGATCGGCTTTGGAAGGACATTCTCGTTAGCCATCCTTTGAGAAGATAACAGCTCAAGTCTGTGAGTCTGAATCTCCAGCTTTTGCGTTAGATCCTTGTTCAATTCCTTTAAGACAAAGAATGGACTGCATAAGATAGATACACCATGACAAAGTTACAGTACACAATAGCCCTCGATTTGGACATGATTTCATCCGGAGGAAAGGGCCCGGTAGGTTAAGCCAGCTGGGATAGTCCCTTGGGCAACTATACAAGACCCTAGGCATTTGTATACCCTAGAGGCTTAGTGCTTAATTATACATGCATCGCATTTATATTGGGTCGATCGAAGCTCTGGACAGGAAGAAATATAGGCTCAATGAATCAAAAATAGTAGAAACAAAGTTGCTGCGAAATGAACAAAACCTTCAGCTTGGAGCAATTGGATGATTCAATTCTCAAAGCTCGCAGCAACTCTTCTCGCTCCACTGCCAACTGCAATGCAACAATTACTATTAACAAGGAAGTAAATTTTGTAGGCTATGAAACTCAAGTGCTGTGGTTTAAGGTTATTTAGGTGCAATCGATCAATGTAAGTGATATAAAGTACCAACCACACTGGATTTTTGCACATCAAAGAGATTACCTCTGACATCAAGGAGTTGATATTGTCGATCATTCTAAGCTGATCATGTGGGATGCTAGAAGACACCTCTTCTAAATAAGTAAAATCAGCCACATTATTGGACCGCGATACAGATGTTTCACCATCTTCTACTGTGTCAATGGCACTGGTAAGGGTTTCTGAAGAGCTGCTTTCCCCTGTATCTGAAGATGCATATTTCGTGTCAAGCAGACTACTAGTTGAAAATTGAAATACATATTCATAGATATCAAACAAAAGGGGAGATCAACATTCATACCTAGATCTTCTGTTGCAGTTGATGCATCTCTTTTATCAGCTGAAGGTTTTTCTATAATATTGACCTTCTCAGTCACAGAAGTATTCCTCAATTTAGAGTGTAGGAGTTTCTTTTCTGTCCAAAAGTATCAATGTGAAGTCAAGTTTACAACCGGCAATATTCATGCATAAATTAAGTCTATCACACACATGCAAGTCTTATTCCAACTAGAATATTACAGATAAATTTCTAGTTTAGTTTTAGTTATTTGACAGCCAAAAATAAGTGACACTAAAGGATGTGTGAGTATGGGGCTTAAATAATAGGGAACAAAAATGTGCGTGCAAGATGTGAACACAACTAATGATTTTCTAGGACTCACCAGATAATTGAGTTGGGCATGGGATAAAGAACGAGTTCAAAAAAGTTTTACATCAGAGTAAAACGGTAACTACCTTCTTGAAGAGCCTCAACAGTAGATTGAAGATGTTGACGCTCCTTCTCTAGACTAGAAACTTTGCGCCTGTGCATAGTAAAAGAAAATCGTAAAGGAAACACTGTCAGTACCCTCGGATGATCAGTGTGTGAGTTCAGTAAACTTAAACTCATGTCATGTTTTTTGCATGTTAACACAAGACTCACATATTTTTTTCGCATAACAATTTCAAGAATGCCAATGTGAGAAAAACCAGAAACTTTCTTTCACATTTATATTTGAAGCCCATTTCACTTATCAATTGATCTCCCCACCTTGTAAAACACATACCATGCACTCATAGCAGAAAACCTCACCTGTATGAAGAAATCTCAGAGCTCAAACCCTCAATTTCCTTTTCAAGCTTTAACTCACTTGACCTCAGTCTAAGAGCCTAAAAAATAGCGATATATCAAACTGCATGCGCTTTTGATAAATAGTGCCTTAAAGAGAAGTGTTAGATAAAAAAACAGCAGCTGCATGTTTGGCATATCAAGGGATATTATATATTTACATCTGATGCATTAAAACTTGAATATAATAGGCATTACCTACCTGCAGGTGTATAGGATATCTGTCATTATACTTTGATTTGTTGCTGTGAGCCTGTGACACCTCTAGGGCTTAATGTACTCAAGGTATAGTATAATAACATACTCCAAAAAAACATTGCTCAAAATAATGAGCATTCAAAAACTATAAACAGTGTCAATATTATTATCCCACTAAGAAGGTTAGGTTGATTTGCAACATTAGAGAGGAAGCAGACGAGTATATAGCTAAGCACCTTATCTTCAAGTAGAATGACTTCTGCTGCAAGAACTTTGGCCCTCTCATCTGCAGCATTGCATTCTAGCTGGGCATTAGCATATTCCGTTCTGACAGACTCAAGTGCCAGCTGTTGAAAAATTGGAGTTGGTAAGAAAACTATACAAATTATGAGAAAACTTCAACTCCAAACTACAACTTCCTCGTTTTTTGTTAGTCACATTTTCCGAACTGCTAAATGGTGTGTTTTATGCAAAAAAAAAAAGTATATGAAGTTTCTTCAAAAAATCCATTTTTCAAGTTTATAATAGTTAATACTTAATTAATAATGCACTGATAACATGTTCTGTGTTGCGTGCCCCTAAGTAAGCTCAGGCAATATGCACATTCAAACTGGCCCTAAATCATAAGTTTCATATTGATAGATACTAGCACTGAGTGCACAGATGATGCTAACTACCAGAAACATCAGTAAGTCAAATGTACACTAAGTAACCTAAACATTTAGTGGAGATACTTTCATATGAATTAGGCATTTAGCAAGCAATAGTTCAGCGCCATACTTCAGCCAGTTGCCTAGTCAAACACCAAAATCTAAACATATTGTGCATGCTGGGTACATAGTGAACCATGTGATCTTATGAACTCATTCCCTAGCTCCTCATATCCGGAGACATTCTACATTTCATAAGTCATATTCTATGCTAACATATGTCTTGCAACTAGCACATTATATTTCCAAATTACACAGCGATAGTACTACTAAAAAACCAACAGAACAAAAGCATGTCAGCATAGCAAGCATGGAATTACAGAATCTTAATGATTGCTAGAAAAGGTGGAATAAGCCTAACCAGTTGAGCTTGAATTTCGTTCTGCAATCTCTCCATGTCAGATGTCAGGTTGCTGATAACTTGTGCCTAAGCATTTGCAAACAAAATAATAAATATGATACACAAGACAATAAGTGACTGGAAATATGACTAATCAGTATTGATTCTGTCCTTATACCAATGCTGTAAAAGAATTGATGATTTACTGATCAGATAAGAAGTATTGACTGTAAGGTAAATTTTGGGTGATTGCTTAGCTATTCCATTCTCATTTAGCATTTTCTAGTTGCTAGAGACACTTTTGCAAGCATGTTATGCTAGTTGAATATCATTCACCGTGAATAAGGCAGAGCAACAAGGAAAGACAGAGAAACGGGCAGAATGAAACTTTGACATTGAAATACTACGTTATAGCAGAAACTGGTTTATTAATTGTGAAGAAAGTGTTTTTCTGTTGTGGACTTGCATAATAAATGGCAAAAGTTTGTGAGGATACTAGATCCAACTCCAAAAACCAAAATGGAGATTTGGAAATACCTGTTGGTTGAACTTATCAGTCAAAGCTGAGTTGTCTGTGGCCAAAGTTTGAGCCAATTCTTGAGATTTCTCAAGAGTACGTTGTAAGGCGAACTTCTCTTTTGTCAAATCCTCAATGAGCTAACAGCCAAACCAGAGCAGACATGAGTAGGATGCGGATACTCGTAAATAACAAAAAGTACATGCAATTCAGGAGAAGTAAAAATATATAATCAAGGATAAGGCTGTTAATTTAGTAGAATATGGCACGTCCATCACAAGATTTGGACGTTCTGTCTAGAATATAGACCCAGAAGCTGCACCACGCAGAACAGTAACTATACGCAGCACGCAGTCAAACAAGTTGTTACATATTATGAAGCATATACTTTTTAAAATTATCTTTTGGACATATGGCTAGTACAGACATAACTTCAGCTAAACTTTTGTTTTGTGTACAATAGCATTCAGGTGTAAGCGTCATCAATTCAAACAAACATAAATAAGCGTTTAGATTTTGTTAATAAATGCACAGCTCTCAATATCATGTCCAATGTCCAATTTTACTAGGTCATTCCTGACATACATATAAAATATTATATATCCTCAAGAAAGCACAGACAATGAAAACATAGATCGAGCACTCATCACCTGCTCTAGTGCAGCAAAATCATCATCTTTCCCAGGAATTGTGAAGTTTTGGAACATTTGAGTACTATGGTGCAGATTCCGTTCATCTTTGGAAGGAAAGGAATCAGTACGAATGGAATTTCCATATGATCCCTTCTCGTTGTTATATTCTTGTCTTCCTGATTTTAGAGAACCATCCACATCATTGCTTCCAGCGGATTGTTGATTTGGTGGCTGAAAAAATGAACTCTCAGAATTCGAGTTGCCAAATGGTTTACTAGCCTTTGCAGGCTCCACGTATGGGACTTCAGTTGTTGGAGCTCTTTGTACTCCAATAGAATCAAGAAAAGATGGCCGAGATCGATTGTATGTAGTTGGATAACCAGATGACATAAAAGGATCCTGTTTATCAAAACAAACAGGTGTGGAATTTGATGTATTCCAAGAATTATTGAAGGCACTTCCATACTCCCGGCTGCTGGCATACGCTAAGCCATCTGCTTGGGAAGAGTCTTTAGAGGTGGCTGCATAGCAGCAAAAGTAAAGAGTTAAAAGTGCCACATATTCAAGTTATCATCACTCATCAGATAGCATAATTTAATATGAAAAAGGGCTTGGATATACCTCGGAACCGACCAAAGATATCATTGTTTGCAGAGTAACCCTGACTTTGCGTGCCTTCTAACTTTCCAAAAAGGCTGCCAGATGAATATGAACTAGACTGCTCAGTGTCACTTACTTCCCTCAAGACTGGATTTCTTCCCTGACTCAGCAAGACCTCATCTGAAGAATGGGAGACCTCATCTGAGTTTCCAAAGGCACTCAATTTAGATTTTAAAGTCACGTCCTTGTCAGGACTATGTTCCTCCCTTTTCCGAGCAGCATCGCCTCTCCAATCCTCATTATGCCCATTAACTAAGTCAGAGAAGCTCAAGTTCCCATAAATCTTGCTCCCTCCAACACTACTGACATCATGCGATGGGGCAGGATTACTAACACTGACTGGCACATTTACAGGGGCAGGTCCATTTGACAAGGGCTCGTCACCTCTGGAATAACTCGTTGGGCCATTCTCGTAGACTGGTGGCACAGATGATGTGCTTGTTGTGTTCACATCCACGTCCGATACCAACTTGTCTCCCGAGTTAGTACTGGTGGCATTTGGAGGAGGGTTCTCTAGTGTATCAGGAACAGGCGCCGTTGCCTGGTCTGCAGTTTCAGCAGCCTTCTTCGCCGCCTTGTTCTTCTTCTTACGGTACTCCGCCAGCTGGATATATCAGAAAACACGACATCATTATTCTACAACCAACTTGAACTTAATTTCGCATCAAATCATCACTCAGGATCAGTTGATGAAATAGCAAGATCTAGGTAACGAAAATTCAACATTTCAAACTGAGCGTGCTGATGACGGGGGTAATTTGCGCGCATTTGACTTCTCTACCATAAGCAAAACGATCGATGGAACTACATCTCTAACGCAAAGCGGTCAATGCTCCCTATTCAATCAAACGTGTCTGGACAAAAAGATCCAGCATTTCCAGAAGGTTAAACTACCAACATCGGGTAACCAACGACTACGTCTATCGCAAGCAACAGACATACCAGCTTCTTCCCCGCGTGGAGATCCTTCTTCCGCGAGGACGACGACGACGCCGCACCGGCGGCGGCGGAGGACGACGACACCTGCGCCGACGCCATGGCTGGCCACACCCCCCAGCTCCCTCCCTCCCACCCAACCACCAAACCCAATCCAAATCTCGGCGAGATCCCCTCCTCCTACTCCTCCTCCTCCTCCTCCTCCCGGGAATCGCCGGCCGCGGTGCAGCCGCCGATTCGATCGGAGGCCCCCCGGGGAGAGGGGGCGAGATCTGGCCGAGGAGGGAGGTCGGATTTGGAATTGGGATTTGGGGGTGGATTTTTGGGGGATTCGCGCTGCTCTCCGAAATCTCTCGCGCTCGGCCCTCCACCCCACCCAAGTATTTGGGCCTCAATTCGCCCCCGCTTCGCTTCTTCTTCTTTTTTTGGTGCGTGCTGCTTCGTGGCGGAGGGGTCGCTGTGGAGTCCGACCGGTTTTGGGTTTTCCTGCTGTTGCGTCGTCGCGGTCGCGGGTGGTTTCCTCGCTGGGATGATCCGACGGCTTGGCTTCCGCCACGTCCCACTGATCTACGGCTTTGCCAGCAGCTAGTGCTTCTGTGGTACGACGCCATGAGTCGATGATGTAGTTTGGTCTCCAGTGAAAGGAATTAGGAGTACCTCCTCTGTTTATTCTAACACGAATGATACAGTTACGCTATTTTCAATTATCTTACTAAAATTATATAATTATTATTTTATTTTATTACAAACTTTTATTACGATATATTATGAATAACTTTAATTTGTTATATACATAATAAAATCAAATATATATCTAAGATTTAACAACATCGCATATATATATATATGTATATATATGTATATATATATATATCGAGATAGATGGAGTATATGCGTTAATCTTGTTGTAGGGTTTAATTTCCATGATCAAAGAAAGTTAGTACATTTTTTTATGGGGATAGTAGAAAATTTTATATGTCATTGAAAATATTTTCCAGATTTATTCGTGAATCCAAAACACGAGCCAAATCTTGTGTCTTTTTATTAGTGTGTGTCTTTCAGTGAACCATAAGCCTATATACTCATAGCAAAATTGTTTTATCGAAACACCGTGCGTACGTGTATAGATGTAGTCATGGGTGTACTTCGAAAAATACATGGTGGTGAACCATTGTAAGGTTATGACCTTACCTCGGATCAATGAATCACAAAGAGCCAAAATGTTGTTGCAGCCTCTTGTATTTATATACGTCCGCACGTAATATAAGTTGTTGGGAGATAAGAAAGTTGTATTGTGGTTACAACGTGTCCATCTTCTTTTAATGCATGAAGTCACCACATATTGATATGTTCATGGTACAATGCTACATGGCTACGCTCAAATAGATTGCGCGCTACAAACCCTGTGGCCGAGCATCGAAGTCATCAATCATGAATATATCACAATGCAAATGATAATTGCAGTATAGATTATCATGAATCAAAATTCATGCAACTACACTTTTAAATCGAAATTTGTATCAATCATGACTAAAGTATAGTAGTATTCCAATGTTGCAAACCGGTATTTTCCAATCGAATGGTCAGTGTATAAATGATGTGATATATATTAATCCGATTGTCTAAAATTATTTGAGATGATGACATGGCTGAGTTATATACATAAGTTTACAAGTATCCCTCATATATCAAAATCTATAAATATTTTTTTACAAAATCACTTATTCAATATATATGCATGTGGTTTGCTACGGGTTTAGTTGTGTTTTGATAGTTACTTTTTATAAATATGCACAATGGACGTGGCGGTATTAACTCTTCAAAATAACCTTGTTGTCATAGTAATATGAAAGTTATGCCAAAACAACATAGGGGAAACACTCAACCTACCATATCGCTCAAATGATTGTTGACCTGTAACACCCAACGACCTTTATTTACAGTTGCTATCGAATAGTAAAATACATATTATCGATAATATAGATTGAGAATAGTAAAATACTAATTAAAAATGATTTGTAAATTGCACAACGCATGGAATATATTTGATGTTCAAATCCAATTATTGAATTAGACAATGTATTGGATGTGAGTCAAGAGCTTCGATGCTTCATTCCCTCGAAAGGATACGATATGCTTGAGCGAACAATTAATAATGAAAGATACATGCATATCGTCATCTTGATATAAATAATATTTTAGAGAGATATATATCGTTCAATGACCCAAAATTTACAATTGTTTTTGTTTGCATCCATGAATCAATATATCAATTGATTCCACGGATATTGAAAAGGACACGTAGTCGTAAATGTGTATTATAGATTTATTGGCTCATTTTAAAGTACAAACTTGCAAAAAAAAAATAAAATCCTTGGATGATGTCGCATGGGTTATTTGGGTGCTCCTCATCACTAAGGACACCAAAGAAAACATATTTTTTAATCTGATTTTGGGGGCCTGTCTGTCATTTTCAAATGCATTTGTTGCGAAGCAAACAAGCAAAGAGAAAGTGGAAATTTGCTCTTACCCCTGCAAAACATGTATCCTACCTAGCCGCATCCTCCGATCGAACAAGACAAAGCAAATGCTCCACCCACAGTTCCACACGCAACGGCCAGAACAAGATCACGTATGCCATGGCATTGCCATGCCTCTGCTTAGCGCTTACGCTTCCCGGCTGCTGGTGATCGATCGAGCTGGGCCGTTCGCTGCATGTGTTCACACGGGCCACCTCCACTGCAACCAATGGTAAAATCCCACGTCATCGTAACCAAGGTGCGACCCACACCTCCACGTCATCATCTCCAGCTCGTGTAGGTTTCGTACGTGCGCGTAGAAAAAACGCACCCCATATTCCTAATCCAGACAGCACACAGGTCTCCTCCCGAAGATGGCGTCCGTTCGATCACGCGGTGGTTCGGATCGGACGGCTCGGAAACACCGGACGCGTAGCCCCTTAGTCGGCGCGGACGCGACACGGACATCCTACGGCGCGCATAAATCGCTACGCGCACACGACCCTACCACTCTATGGTTTTCCTTTTGGGTCCCACATGTCATTGGACCACAGGCAAGAACGCTCCTCTCCCTCCCCCTCTGCCGCGGCGGTCAAAACCAGCACGCGCCGAAATCCCGTACTTCCCACTGACACGTAGGCCCCACTGTCATTGACCGTTACAACTCAGGAAAAAAAAGGGGAACCCCACCCACCAGAAACGCAGCCCCCAGCAATGATAAGTGGGCCCAGAGGAAATGTGGGGCCCACGGGTCAGTGGGACGTGGCCGTGCCGTGCGGGGGGCGAAAGGTACGGTCGCTGAGGAGAGGCTGGCGTGGGCGGTGGAGCGCTTCCCACAGCCCTCGGCGGCCGCCACGTGTGGGCCGCAGCCGCATCTCTTCTCTCTCTACTCTCCCACCCTCCACCTCCCGCTGCTTCTCCTGTTCGTCTCCTTTCTCAGTAACTGCACCCACCTCCACACCTACACGCACACAGACAAACAAAGCCAAACCCCCCGCCTCGCCTACATCTCGCGCTCTCCGCCCCCCGCCCGCCTCCACTCTGCATGGACGCCTCCGCCGGCTCGTCGGCGCCGCACTCGCACGGGAACCCGGGGAAGCAGGGTGGCGGCGGCGGCGGCGGCGGCGGACGGGGGAAGGCCCCGGCGGCGGAGATCAGGGGTGAGGCGGCGAGGGATGACGTCTTTTTCGCTGACGATACCTTCCCGTTGCTCCCGGACTTCCCGTGCCTTTCTTCCCCGTCAAGCTCAACCTTCTCGTCGTCGTCGTCGTCGAACTCGTCCAGCGCTTTCACCACCGCGGCGGGAGGGGGTTGCGGCGGTGAGCCGTCCGAGCCGGCCTCGGCGGCGGACGGGTTTGGTGAGCTCGCCGACATAGACCAGCTCCTCGACCTCGCGTCGCTGTCCGTCCCGTGGGAGGCCGAGCAGCCGCTGTTCCCGGACGACGTTGGCATGATGATAGAGGACGCCATGTCCGGGCAACCGCATCAGGCGGACGACTGTACCGGCGACGGCGATACGAAGGCGGTGATGGAGGCGGCCGGGGGAGGAGACGACGCCGGCGACGCATGCATGGAGGGGAGTGATGCGCCCGACGATCTGCCGGCGTTCTTCATGGAGTGGCTCACGAGCAACCGTGAGTACATCTCCGCCGACGACCTCCGCAGCATCCGCCTCCGCCGATCCACCATCGAGGCGGCGGCCGCGCGGCTCGGCGGCGGGCGCCAGGGCACCATGCAGCTGCTCAAGCTCATCCTCACCTGGGTGCAGAACCACCACCTCCAGAAGAAGCGCCCCCGCACGGCGATTGACGACGGCGCCGCGTCGTCGGACCCTCAGCTCCCCAGCCCCGGCGCAAACCCCGGCTACGAGTTCCCCTCCGGTGGCCAGGAGATGGGCTCCGCCGCCGCCACATCCTGGATGCCCTACCAGGCCTTCACGCCGCCAGCCGCGTACGGCGGCGACGCCATGTACCCAGGCGCCGCCGGCCCGTTCCCTTTCCAGCAGAGCTGCAGCAAGAGCAGCGTGGTCGTGAGCAGCCAGCCGTTCTCCCCGCCGACCGCGGCGGCGGCGGGCGACATGCATGCGTCGGGCGGAGGGAACATGGCCTGGCCGCAGCAATTCGCGCCGTTCCCCGTCTCCTCCACGAGCTCCTACACCATGCCGTCGGTCGTGCCACCGCCGTTCACCGCCGGATTCCCCGGGCAGTACTCCGGCGGCCACGCCATGTGCTCTCCACGCCTCGCCGGAGTCGAGCCGTCCTCGACAAAGGAGGCCCGGAAGAAGCGGATGGCGAGGCAGCGCCGCCTCTCCTGCCTGCAGCAGCAACGTAGCCAGCAGCTCAACCTGAGCCAGATCCACATCTCCGGCCATCCACAGGAGCCCTCCCCTCGCGCCGCGCACTCGGCGCCGGTCACCCCGTCGTCGGCCGGCTGCCGGAGCTGGGGCATCTGGCCGCCGGCGGCCCAGATCATCCAGAATCCCCTATCAAACAAGCCCAATCCTCCTCCCGCCACGTCGAAGCAGCCGAAACCCTCGCCGGAGAAACCGAAGCCGAAGCCGCAGGCGGCGGCGACGGCCGGAGCGGAGAGCCTTCAGCGCTCGACGGCTTCAGAGAAGCGGCAGGTGTGCATGCATGCAGACGATTGACATCAATCGCTATCCACCATAGCTAGGATCTCACGCGAGTGAGAACTCGATTCTCCTCCTCACACACACTCCACACACTCAAAACTCACTCACTCACATCGCTGTCCAGGGATAGAATCTCCAATATTTATCAACCTAGCTAATTAAACGGCATCGATTGGATTGCTGCAGGCGAAGACGGACAAGAACCTGCGGTTCCTGCTGCAGAAGGTGCTGAAGCAGAGCGACGTCGGGAGCCTCGGCCGCATCGTGCTCCCCAAAGTGAGACAGTCACCACCATCTCGAACACCTTCTCCTTCCAAATCCACTACCCCACTTGGCACAAATCCATTCCATGGAAGGATCCCACTTGCACACACTCACATACTTGATGTTTCTCCCCTAATCAAAGACGGAATTTGCCTGAACCTTCTCTTCACATTTCCGATCATGGTAGAACTAAAAAGTCTCCCCTTTCTTGATCTGTGGATGGTTTCAGAAGGAAGCAGAGGTTCACCTGCCGGAGCTGAAGACGAGGGATGGTGTCTCCATCCCCATGGAAGACATCGGGACGTCTCAGGTGTGGAACATGCGGTACCGGTGAGTAATCAACATTCGATCGAAGCATCAAGCATGATTTGGGATTGCTTATTAAGCTTGTTTAAGTCCACTTGCTTCTTTGTTAATTGGGAGGGGATAGAAACCTCTGAACCAGAAATAGTAAATGACTATGGGATGGTCCCTTTCCCAATTGGGCAAGTGGGTCATACGAACATATCATTGGAATCTGGGAGTCAAATAGGAGCATGCATTCATCGTGTTCTATGTTGATGCTCAAGTGCATACAACAAAAAAATAAAAGTGATCTTTTCCTGCTGTTTTCAGTACTAACATTATGCATATGATTTTTGCTGGTTCTGCTGAGCTCATGTTTTTGATTAATTAATTTAATTATTTCCATTGGCAATATTATATATGCACAAGTTATTCGAATACATGATGGCTTAGATTTTGATTCACTGACATTAATGGATATTGATTTTCATGAACACAGGTTTTGGCCCAACAACAAAAGCAGGATGTATCTTCTCGAAAACACAGGTGAATAGCAAACTTTTGAATTATTCAAATTTTACAGTCACAAGCCATGCCAATAACTTCCATCCTTAATTTGTGGCTCTCAAGTATTGTTGATTAATCGTTGTCATATGTTTTTTCAGGTGATTTTGTTCGTTCAAACGAGCTGCAGGAGGGTGATTTCATTGTGATCTACTCCGATATCAAGTCAGGCAAATATGTAATGTTCATCCATCATTGCCCTTCCCACTTCTTTCGAGTACTCTTTAACTCAACTCAGTTGGATGTGATTTTGAGTGCCAATAAGCTATATATAGTTGCTGCATGCCACTGTTTGTCTTTAATTCGGATGACCAGTTTGGCAGTATCTTTGTTTATGGAGTACTTCTGTTAATTTCTGCAAGCAGCAGCTAATTAATTATTAACCGTAATCTTAATTTATCTCTTAATTATTAGCAGCTGATACGTGGTGTGAAGGTGAGGCGCGCGGCGCAGGAGCAAGGCAACTCGTCGGGGGCGGTAGGTAAGCATAAGCATGGCTCGCCGGAGAAACCCGGCGTCTCGTCCAATACAAAGGCCGCCGGCGCCGAGGACGGCACCGGCGGCGATGACAGTGCCGAAGCCGCAGCGGCGGCGGCGGCAGGCAAGGCTGACGGCGGCGGCTGCAAGGGCAAGTCCCCGCACGGCGTGCGGCGTTCTCGCCAGGAGGCCGCCGCCGCCGCCTCCATGAGCCAGATGGCGGTTAGCATCTGAAGAAACAGATGACAGCAGCAGCAGCAAGCTTCAGTCCATTTGAAGGTTAATTATTAGCTAGCTAGCTCCGTATTATAACCGATGGTAAAACCTCCTAAAAAAATTAATTAAGTTGTGCATGTGAATCGTAGCGCTAGCTAGGGATGATATTTGATCAGTAACCCGTAGTCCCCGTACCAGTGACGCTTAAGTACGCATGGTTTGGTTGTTCATCGTTGAACCCCTGTAGTGTGTCGTCGTCCTGTACATGCATCGAATTATGGAATTAATTAATTACCTTAATCGTCGTGTCCATTGCGGCTAACAAGCAGACATAGGATCATGTTTTTAATATAGTTACTACCTTTTTTTTTTTTCTTTCTGCGTGGTTAGCCGAGCATCTGGTTAGGATTTACATGCATATTTTGTGTGGATCTACTAATACTAGCACATAAAAAAACCCATCTCGGCTAGCTAGAGTATATAGTATTAATTTCGGCATTTCGGCTGCATATGCTATCAAAAACATTGACCATCCCTGCATGCATGTGTCTAGAATATTACAAGCCTGCACATGCATGCATGGCCAAATTTCCATGGACCAAGGATGCATGATCTCATCATGACCCGCCCAAGCTGTTTGAGTTTGACTAACCCCTTGCACAGGTTAATTGATTCCTGGTGGTGCATCTCTCCACCTAGCAAGATTCTTGATCTGGACGAAATTAACCAAGCTAAAGTAAAAGAGTAGCCTGTTTGGTGGAGAGCTAGCTGCTTCTGAATTCTGATCTCTTGTCTTCGCCTCACTCTGCCAGGCTGGAGCGACGAGAGCGCGCCATGTGCTAAGGGCTTGTGGAAACAAGGCGATATGGCACGCTCGGTTTTATGATAAACTAGTTGGCCCCGCTTCGAGGCTCTCTCTCTCTCTCACAACGCCACGTAACCCCGCATCTTCTCATCTTATCTCGGGTTTGATTGGGAGCTTCTGTCAGCCGTAATTTCTCGTAGAATCTCTAGCTACTGAAATTTTTTTTAAACAGTTCAGATTTTAAATTTTTATCCGGATTCTAAAAAACTACAGCAGTAGAATCTAGAAATTGACACAAAAACTGGAAGCTTGGTTTGTCAGCTTCTCCAAATTCTTAACTATACTAACTTCTCATAATATTAAGGGTTTGTTTGGCACAGCTCTAGCTCCATCTCTCCTGGAGTTAGAGCTCAGCCAAACAGTTTAAGCTCCACTTAAAATGTGATCGGAGCTGGGTGGAGTTCTCTCACAAAATAAATTAGAGATGTGGAGTTGGGTTTAGATAGCTCTATAACTTCACTCCAGACTCAACTCCTGAAGCAAAATTTAGGAGTTGTAGCTCTACCAAACAGGGTTTAACCTTAGCTTCTGCCCGCGCGCACTGCAGAGCCTCGTCGCGTAGACATTAGTCACATGCATGATTGGAACTGTGTGCGCTTGATCGATCACCCCATCGAGCGACCAGATGTTGATGGACCTTCTGCCTTTCTCTTTTTTCCACTTTTTTCCCTTTTGGTTTTTTGTTTGTTTCCTTGTTTTTTTATGGGAGGAAGGAAAGAAGGGGACAGGATAGGTAGAGCGATAGACGGATATAGCTATCTAGAGGCTTAGGTGTGTGTTGTGTTCGTGAAGGATAAGGCAATGATGTGCCTGTTTCGGCGAATTTCTTTCTGGATCCCGTGGTGCGCTGTTGCGCGAACATAATGCAGATATCTACAGGGACAACATTATAGATGCTATTAATTAGTGTATATATTTTGTAGCTTTTCCTACATTATGATATGTTTTTGTAATGATTGGTAGTGGTGTGGTACGTACTATTGGTGCCCTGTCCTCTTGTGCGTTCGTTTCTTAATTTCGTTCGTGCGCATGGTTTCTAGCTATAGCTATACCTTACATTGGGACATATATGGAAGGTTTATTCATCCCCCAGAGAAAAAGTGGAAAGCGGATCTTATCATGGCATATGCATCGAGTGGACAATCGGAAGGGGAAAACATCACTGGTGCGATGATAAAGTCGTGAAAATATAACTCCATCTACCATATTCAAATTATGATATCTGCATTTTAGTTGGTGAGAAGCTAGGAGATACAACTTTTTTTGGGTAATGGGAATGGGGGGGGGGGGGGGGGGGGAAGGCGAAGACAGACATATATTATCTTGGAGCAACTCAACACACATTACCAAGGGTCTACCTATAGCGCTGTCAACAGATTTTAAGGCAAAAAAATGTCTAGCTACACCCCAGTTACATTGTAACTTTTTTTTTTGCGAAGCAATTACATTGTAACTACACCCTGGAAGTTGTACGTAACTGGGTTTGGAACACAAAAACAATGCTAGCTTGGTGGTAAATGAGACACCTGAGTGAAATGAAGGTGGCGGGATCGATTTAGGGCTGGATTTTTATCCAACACTTCAAACGACACCTTCAACAATGAGATGACAAACAAGAGCTGACATTGCTGAATTTAGATCACATCTCAAGGTTTTCACCCTGGAGTCATTGTTGCTTGCACTCTGTACCACCTTCTAGTTAAAGCGCGTTGACAAATTTCTTTGAAAAAAACTATCGCACGATTTTTTAGCAATTCCGTAACGAAAACAAACCTCGGTATTATGCACCTACTCGGATCCAAGCACCTTCGAGAACGACTTGGCCCCTGTCTACCACATTGTCATCCAAAAATAGGGCTGGATTTTTATCCAACACTTCAAACGACACCTTCAACGATGAGATGACAAACAAGAGCTGACACTGCTGAATTTAGATTACATCTCAAGGTTTTCACCCTGGAGTCATTGTTGCTTGCACTCTGTACCACCTTCTAGTTAAAGCGAGTGCACCATGGACAAGAAATTAACTGCTACCATAAAAAAAATCAAAGATGGATCTTCTAAACCGATTTCAACAATCGCTGACCAATCTTCCCGATCAAAATGGAGGTTGCCACGACACCACCTGAGTAGCATGCATCCTCATATGGTCACCAACGACAAAGACCAAATAGTATCAAAGTGTAGCCATCAGGATGGAGCTTTGGCCTCCTTTATTTGCCTCTATCAGGTGAATGGAAGAAACACTTTCTATTTGAAACATGGAGGAAGGAAGCATCAAATGCTCAGTTTTAAACAAAGCCAACAACCATCCTCCAACGGCCATGGCAAGCACGACCAGATTGAATCAATTTTGCATCACACCTAGTGATGAGGGCTTTAGGCAACCATGACAAGTAATGTTGGACATGGCAGCGAAGCCAACGTAGTCCAATCCAATTTGTATTTTGATGGCCGAGTTTTGACCTTATCTGCTTCGTGATGTTGTTGGGCGGCAGAGAGAGAGAGAGAGAGAGAGAGAGAGAGAGAGAGAGAGAGAGAGAGAGCCACCGCCACCGCCACCGTAGCTTGACAACAACATTAGCGGCATCGGCGGAGAAGATGTTTGGGAAGGCAGCGGCAACAACGGCTAGGGAGCTCCTTTCGAGCCGGAAGTTACACTGCTTTTTTTTTTTAAAAAAATGTAGAGGATCAGATGTACAAGAGAGATCAGAGAAGAGACTAGGACACTCTTCTGTAGGAATGCATGAGCTCCTGTTTGTATTCGTACAGATTGAGTCGACCTATGTGAACCTCGCTATATAAAGTTTGTTAGTCCTAATTCGAATGTAGTTTGGCTAGAGCTATTTGTGGCTCCCAAACGGAACATATCATTAGCGCATGATTGTTTACATATTAAATATTATATATTAGAAATATTATTTATTTATTTATTAAAAAATTTTATGTACAACGATTTTTATATAAGATGTATATTTTAGCAGTTCGAGAATATGTAGTAATAAGAAATGAGGAAGTTATCGTTTTGAGTCGAGGAAAAGAAGTCAACATTAGAAAAACACTGGTTCAGTAAAGAGCCACTAATGGGAATTTTCGGGCCTGTTAACTTTGATGCCATTTTCAACCTTATCAAATTTTGGTAAAGTTGTCAAAAAAGTGACTATATAAGAAATCCTGCCAGTCACTATACCAAAATTTTGACAATTTGATAAGGTTTTTTTCGGCATCAAAGTTCGTATGCATGCATTGAGCTGGCTTATCACCAAACTTATCTTCTCGTTGTACTTTTTTTTTGAGAGAGCATCTTCCCATAGTACTTACACGCATGCGTTTGACCAAATTAATTAACGGGCTAGCACTTGGTTTAGTATACGACCATAACCGTTCTTATGTCAAATTTATCCAATTGGTCCTTTTATTAACCTATTGAACTCGTTTCACACCGAAACTTGCCATGTTACATTTGCGGATGTTTCTCTGTTCTTTTTTCTTTTTCATAAGACAAACAGGAGCTCTGCTAGCTGCTACTAGTATATTCACTAAAGGGAGAAAACAGAGCAGAATTTATGAGGCTTGGCTAAGTAGCTCGATCTTTTTTCTAACCATTATTAACTAAAAATTTTAAAACAAACCCTATGAAAATCTTACTTTTAAAAATAAATCTTTTGGCCATTGCCATCCGCGATTTATTTTCTCCCTTCACTGCCATTACCATACGCCACTGTTGAAAGTGCCAAAACGTTGTCCTACCATGTCAGTTAAAATGGCAAGCTAAAAAGGTTCAGAGCTGAAAATAAGTTTTCAAATAGTTTATTTTCAAAAATATATTAAAAATAAAAAAAATCAAAGTACATCGGGTGGAAAGAAGTATAGTTGACCAAAACGCCCTAGGCCCGACGGCTCGGCCAATGGCATGGGTTTGGGCCTGGCCCAAGCAGTCAGGCCCTTGTTGGCCCGACCAGACCTTTGGGTCGTGCTTGGGCCTCTGCCTCGGCGCGATGGGCTGGCTCGACACGGCTCAAAGAGATGAGGGATTCAAAATATACTTATTTTGAGCCATATGAGAGTTGGCCCAAAGAGATCAGGGAGACAAAATAGACTTTTTCCAAGGAGGAGCATGGTGGGCTTTCGTGCCTTCTAGTCGTTCATGGGCTGTTGGTGCAACACTTGGACGGGCATGGCCCGTCCTGGTGTGTAGGTCAGGTCGTGCCGACTTGACTGAACTCAGCCTCGGCCTGGTTGTGCTCGGGCCGAGTCGGGCGACCCATTTGGCTATCCACACGTTTACGGTAGTAAGTCTATTATATATGATCCACTTTGTAAATCATACATGTAAAATATCTTTTAAATAATATGTCAGGGTTACGGGTTAGGCATACCCTTTACCCTTCGATATACGTTACATATCGATATGGCATACCCACGCGCATTCGGATATTTCCTGTATATTCTAAGAAAACCTTTCACGGAATCTACAGATGGGAAGAATCCTACTCGGGCAGAACTGGGTCTGATATCTCCGAGTTCTATGTGGAGACCTCCAGATCTGCGATATAAAAGGGCCCCCCCCGGGAGGGTTTAGGCATCGAATCTCAGAGCCAACACCACCTCCACAGCCTACGAAGCCGGAGCTTATGAGGAGCCAAGTCACCGAGAGCTAGTCGAATCAACTCGACTACAATCTCGCCGGATCCGACAAGTTCCCTTGTTCTCTTTGTAACCTGTGTTTTCTACCATATAATCCCACATCAACTGGATAATTCTTGTCTCTTGAACCAGTATAATTCTTGTCTTTTGTTTGCTTGATGTCGTACTACGTAGATCCTTGTACCAACGTACCCCAATACCCTTTATATCCGGTCTACGGGTATCACCCGTCGACAGTGGAGCGCCAGGTAGGGGTCCTTGGTACTCAAGGTTCTACTACTATGTCATCCAGCTTCGTCGACAACAACGTCAGCACCAGCCTCAGCCAAGTACTCCCTGCTTCAACAATGCTGGTATGGACTCAAGTCGGCGAAATCGTCTTCCCGGTTTACACCACGACACCGATCTCAACCGGTCCTCCAATGACCGGAGACGAGAACGCAGTGGCTACGAACCAAGGCGATTCCATGTCGAAAAATCCTCCCGTCGAGACGGAGAACGGAATATCGATGACATCCAAGCTCAAGAAGGATTCTGATACGGCCAAACCTTGTCCTTCCGACATGAACCACGAGCCGACAAAGATGACTTACGAAGCCACAAGGTCTTGGTGTCCTATCCACAAAACCAAGAAACACACCCTGCAAGATTGCTGGGTTTTCCTCAACGTCCGTGCTGAAATTCGCGCCTGCAAAGAACGTGGAATTCAGCGTACTTCTCCAACTCGGGATGTCTATTGTCCTATTCACAAGACAAAGAATCATGTCCTC